TGGATGCTCTGGTCACCGCATGCTCGGTATGGTTTGGCCATGGACGAAGTCCAAATACATATACTGTATTGTTTTTAAATCAGGTCACCAGCCATAAAACGCCCAAGTACACCCCAAAATCTTGAAATAAACCGTAAAATCTCAAAAATGCTATAAAACGCCACGGCGTTCTATGACCCGTTGACCAACTACAAGGGCCCAATCAACCAGTAGATTCATGAATGAAGGGGGTTCCGAAGCTTTTCATACTAGAAATAGAGCTGATGTACATACATACATGCATACATACATACGTGTGGCTTGGCAAATAGATATATACATATACGAGAATCTAAAGGCGACCTAATCAGCATATCTCCTCTGTTTCCTGGATTCTTAAGGGTTTCTGTATAGTTATTATAACGGTGCTCAGTTCAAACGATCTAAAGGACATAATGAGAGTTGGGGTGTTTACTTTATTTCCTAACTTTAGTTTTCTAAACACTTTACGAGGGTCTTACTTACACGGAGCCCTACGATACGCGTTCTAGACATAGCCTTTCGTGCCATGAAATACTCAATGTTAAGGGGGCGCGTTTTAGGATTATGATGGATTATGGGCGGTGGTCTGTTCTTGCGTAGCTTGTAAGGGGGCGCGTTTCAAAACCACGGGAAGCGATCTATCCCCGCATAACCCGTAACCCAGAGAAGAAATGAACCTGGCACATGAGCGCAAGAGGTTGCTGCACTCAGATCTTCGTTCCTTGGACTTTGAAACTCATCCCATTAGTCAGGAGCGCAATCCTCAACAAATCCAGAATTTTCTGTGCTTTTATCCTTGTCCAAGGCACTTTCGCTCCTTTCGGCGCTCTTTGTCTCCGAGGCTGTGCTTGGATCGCCTCATGTGCATCCAAAAAAACACCCCACATCACTCCACCAACCACGTCTTATCGTGGCAACTTTTGGCCACCGGATATTGATGGGATTCGTTCCAGTGATGCGGGACACTTTGCGTTGCTTACTGAAAGATGATCTCATGGCATGCTTCTCGTTTATAGCTCTGTGGCATGAGGGTTGACAGCTCAGGCGACAACCCTGATCGAGAAGAAGTGCCAGAGCGTGCCTGGGCATGGCGGCTCGCTTTGCACAGCACTCCGAAGTAAGGACATCTGCTCACTGCCTGTTTTCAATCTAGCTCACCAGCTCTTTTGCCATACTGTGTCGCCGGCCGTGTGGTATGAACGGCAAGTGGAAGGCTCCGGAACCTCGCCCATGTCCTGAAATCGGTTGCACTTTATCGTGCAGAGTTGCAGAGCTCATTTGCATGAGCACCACATGTCATGCCACATGTCAACGCACGGTCTCCGCTTCCATACAGGCAGCGCGGCTATCAGGTGGAATGGCGTGAACACCTCTACCGTACTTTGGGGGCACATTTGATGTTCATTTTGGCTGGTATTATTTGGATCAAAAGCTCCCGCTTTGTCACGGTACGCTACTTGACTCCCTGCTACAGTCTTTTTGTCGCGGCATGCTGTTACATGCATTAGTCTGGAATCCGACGTAGGCAATGTGCGCAAAAGAGTTTTGGTGGCAAAAGGATTTGGCACAACCAGGGCAGTTCTGCTAGCCTAGGTCGCCGAATGGCCGCTGGAGCGTGTTACAAACCAAATTTCGGTGGTTCGCAGCCACCGTGCAGTGGACAATGACCTAGAGCAAGCTGAAGCAAGGCAAGCCCCATATAATATGCTGAAGATTGCCGAAGGCTACGGGTACTTTGGTGTTGGACACTCCAGGACCTTTTAGGGTTCTTGGACGATGCGGGGACACTCTGCGATTTTCACAGATGGGTACTCTGGCATGGCATGTTGTGGCGGTCTTGCGAGTGCAGAATGGAGAGTGAAGAGTGGAGTGGAGTCTTGAGAGTGGAGAATGGAGAGGGTGGAGTGGAATGTGGAGAGTGGAGTCTTGAGAGTGGAGAATGGAGAGAGTGGCGTGTGGACAGAGTGGAGAGTTGACAGTGGAGTGAAGAATGGAAAGGAAAGCGGCGGAGTGGAGAGAGGAGCGACCAGGCGGGGCGGGGAACAAAAGAAATCTCATCCAACTGATGCGAATGCAGAGTTACCGTGCCTGAATCCCAAAACCACTCAAGCACCACGCTTCTAGCCACTTCTAGCTTGCACGGGGTCAATCTGCAGTCCTTCCGTAAGTTGCCCAGCTCAAGCCTCAGCACCTCCAGAGCACCAACAGCTGCGTACGCATGCGCACTCTTCATCTGGACGTAAAAGTTTCGGCCTGTAGCATGTCTGGACCTGAGAACACACCCTGGAGGAGCCATCCAAAGCTAGCAGTCGGAATGACGTGCGTGTCAATATAGCCATGTGAGGTCGAACATCTGGGCCCAAAGCGGCTTTGAAGAGGTTCGCTGCCCCCACTCGGCACCACCTTTGCAGGACCGCGCTACTGCACAAGCGACGCACCGGGAACAAAATCATTGCAGTACCGGTCCTGCTCTGAGAGGAGGTACCTGCATCAGCACTGCCAGGATTGATATAGCCGTGCCAACCTCTCTGTTTCCGCCCAGGGCCTTCCAGGAGAATCCTTTATGCAGCAGCAGAAGCAGCAGATGAGGTCATTAGGCAGAAAAATGCAGAAAATCCTGTTGTCACACTTCTGCCATCTTGGCTCGAATAACCTTAATCCAAACGAACGTCAACCAACACGACCGGAAGACATGTTTGACTCAACACAATGGTGCACCTCTTTCAACTTGACAGTGAGCACATCAAACACGGCAAGCGATGCTCTGGAAATACGCAGAGAATGATTTCCATCCAGCTCATGCATGGGAACTGCGCGCTGCACGATTCTAAATGCAATAACAACTGTAGATGCTACAGCTGCGGAGTTGTGTATCCAGAACTCCGCTCCGCTCACCTAGAATGGGATTGTCGACACCACCTCCAGTTCTGGTGTCCCGCTGCTTATTTGCAATGTCATTGGCAAGCTTGCTTTAAAAAATTAGCCGCTGGTGCAGAAGCTGTGTGGCTTAGCGAGCGGAGTGGAAGTAAATTGTCACGAGCCAGCAGGGCGTGTGTCGGTTGTGAAGCTGAATTCTTTTCAGACATTCCCTCACGCTTGCTGAGCCAACTCGGAGACCATCGGGCCATCGTGCGGGGCTTGGGCCCCAAGCATCTGGGGCTTCAGACTCTGCTCGCGCTCTCCTGGAACTTCTTGCGTCCCAACCAACTGTCGAGCAGCCATTTCTGGGCATTGGATGCTTAGCCGACACACGGCAATCAAAACTGGTTCTTTCCAGTGGCTTTCCGACTTTCTCGCGGCATGAGCCAGAGGCTCTTTGGCACGGGAAGGGGTATGTGTTCGCAACATACCATCAAAGCTGGAATCGCAACAGCAGCAATGGAGAAAGCACAACCGGCCTTTAAAAAAGCAGTGACGCTGGCAGAAAACACCTGTAGGCTGGTCAATGCGTGCTTGCGGGAATCCAAATCGTTTAAGCCTAGTCACAGTCTGGTGAAGCTTGTGCGTGAGGACGTCTGTTGGCCAAGGGAGGCATACGTCCCCAGGCTCTGCCCAGTCATTGCCCAATCTGAATGCACTCTGAACTCCAAAACTTCCTAACCAAGCTGCCCTGCTAGGAGACGTGAGTCTCGCCATGGTCTCAGCTGGGGCTCAACACTAGGTTCCTCCTCAAGGCATGAGAATCATTCTCGAACGCGCGCGCTTGCCGCAAAAGATGGTTTTGAGAGTTGAGATTTGATTTGTTTTTGCAACGCTGTTTTCTGATTTCGCAGCAGGCTCACCAGAGAGCTTGGCACACACCTGGTGTTGCAGCCCATCATCTACTCGTTTATGGCTAGTGAGGTAGGGTAGACTCTGAACAGGCCCCCGTCCAGCATGTGTAAAGGCTGACGCCTGCTCCCTGCCCTGATCACGAAGACTTGACCCCCTTTTGCAGCACACAACAAGGAACGAACTCATACTGTAACTTGTACCAACTTCTGTGCCTGCCTCTCTAGGACAGCATGGCGCATTGCCAATTCGCTTTCCCACTCTGCAATGGGATTGTTCCAGGCGCTGACCTGAAGCTGCATCTTTGACATGTAGGGACATGCAAATGCACGAATCAACCTTCAAACGGTCGTTGTAGTAGTATTCGCCCTGATCAGACACGTAGGGCCCGCTCCAGCCTTGCCAGACAAAGGACAAGCGCACTTCCAAAATAGAGAAGCTCTGAGACAAGCCTGTCAAGTCGGCCTTCGCAGCCTGCGTGCAAGAAGAAAAGTCAATCCAATCTGGATACACTTCGGCACCAGCTGAGTATTCTTCTGGTGTCTAACTTCGCCGCGAATTGGCTGCCTCATGCCGCTCATGCAAGTGCTCTCGCACCTTCAGACTGTGCGTAGAACAGCTTACATCTCAAGTTTACAGGATTGCATTTCAGACTCCATCTCCGTGTCCCAGGCCATTTCCTGCCGACTAGGCACGGCTTCCACGCGAGCCTGCGCGGCAAATCACAAAGCGTGATGAATCTCGAAATTAGCCTGAGCAAGCTCAAGCCATAATGCAATCAGGCTGATCCAGCCGTATACATTGCCCAACCCCTGAAGAGCCTCATTACCGTGGGTCTGAGCGGTAGCATTGAATGCCGCACTGGCAAGGCACTGCAATATATTCTGGAGTGGCAAGCAGTATCCGATAGCAAGTGGACCATCAAAATTGACTCGCCAAACAAACAGGCTAGCCACCACCGAACAAGCATGGCAACAGTTTGAAGAGGTCAACAGATGTCAACGAGACCCATGACAGTGCCTTCAGGTTATCAGCTGTTCTTGTACTCAAAAGGGCCGGCGCCTTACCCAAATCAGCAAGTCTGTCCCGATGTTGCAATGGGTTGATCCCATACTGCCACGGGTCTGCCTCATTCTATCGGCTATTCCTCTGGTGATGGACAACAGCCGCAAGTAGCCTATGAGGGTAGGCATGATCTATGCTCAGGACTGCAGGCTTTGCGAGATCCCAAAAAAGACGTACCCTGAGCCCGCCCTACATACCCAGCACTCCACCCTGAAAGCCACTTAAGCCCTCCAAGCCAGTCTTCAAGCTTGCTTCAGGAAACTTCGGAGTGCCCAAGAAAACCCCGCTCACACCTCGATCATGGCTTGCTTCTCGTGAATTTGGTCATGGCCCAGCTGCTTGCATAGAGCAAGAAGCTTTCTGAACATGTGTGAACGACAGGTCTATGGAGACTCAGGCATAGTCACGGAATGATTCTGCATGGCTGCAGGTCTATGGAAACAGCTGATGGAGATTGCAAACTCTTCGGTCGTCACGGCAATTTAAGCTGACACTGCTATCTTTACCGGATAAACCCTGCTCTCGAGCCTTCCGGATCAGAGCGATCAGGCTCCGATAGATCTGATCTGCTGGATGTTCCCATGTCGAGCTGCTGGCTCCTGAGAACCGATCTCGAGAGAGGAGCCAGCTTCGAACGAATAAGAGCCTTTCTGGAGCCTGGTATGCCTGGTGGCATGCTTCAATCCTTTATAGAGTGTTGGTGCTCGTAGGAACTGCTACATCACGCAGCAGCAAAAAAGGGGCAAACTCATTCGATAAGGGATTTGGTTATCTTGGTGTCAGTTCCACTTGTGCAACAGTAGGGCTTTGACCTGTTGACATCCGCCACACTCCTTGTAGCTTGTATAAGTTTGGAGGTTTTGCTCGTAGCAGGCCTATCGCTTCCCATGGGTCTGTTAGTCTGGTGCTGGCTGATGGATACACATCACCACCCGCCCTGCCTTCTTTGACATAGTATGCGCGCCCTGACCTTGAGTGTGAGAATCGCTTTGCTGCCAGTGCCGCTGATAGAGAGCATTGCATAACTTAGAAATCTTAGAAACACCATGACCAATGACATCCCATGATATTGGAGACGAGTCAATAACTGCTTCAACACACGTGCAGAGTTTGCTGAAGTCTGCAAGCTCATGATGATAATAGCTAAAGACGTCACATAATATTTGCATACGAGGAACTCATCCATGTACTCTGTCCAGCTCGATGGAAGCGGTGCATTCCAGGCCTCCCATTCAATAGGCGTCAGTTCTGTCAACTCAAGAATGCATATTATGGGATTTGCTCTCGCCGCCCTCGCCTCCTGCACGAGTTCCAGGCAGTCCTCACTCTCCAGATCCACGCCAAGGCTTAAACCATACCTGGCAGGCGACGGACATAGTTGCTCTTCCATGGAATATTGAAAGAATACACTCTCCTGCCCTGCTCGTGTCTGGGCTAGTGCCCGCCACAGGAAGTCGGGCCGGGGGGAGATGTTTTAGGCATCTGTCAAGGTATGTTGGGGTATGTTTCGGGATTTAGGAAGCAAAAGCCTGTGGATGCTGGTGTGCGGTGGTAACTGTTTGGAGCACAGCAGCTTCAAACGGCTGACATGTTGAAATTGAGGGCACTAGTTGTTAAGAGCACTAGCAAACTCAACATCCTGCAGCAACTTGTGCTGGGTACATGTGTAGAGGTGTCCGGTAGGCGTCAGCTGGCCGAGTTCAGATCTTGCAATTCAAGTGCGAATTCTGGGCGAATACTTGCGGGGTTGTGAAGTAGACCACCGCCCATGGCACTCCAAACCATGCTGTCCAAGCCAAGCCCCGAGCTTTTCATCAGATTTTTCAGAAATGCCTAGCATCGCGTGGCTTCTCCAATCAGGACCACTCATGATGCTTGCACCAGTTAGAGGCAGCAGGGCACTCGTGAAGGTCTCCATACAGGATGCATTCGGGCTCAAGTGTCGCGTCAGCGGTGTTGACCACTGCCTGGACTTGAAGACTAGGTCATGGCTCTTCACCAGGCGGATTTGCCAGTATGATCAAGCTGTATCAAACTGCAGTGATGTCACGGTTTCAGAAGAAAAGGCAAAAGCAGCGGCGGAACCTTGGCTAATATCAATCTCTCCGGTGTATGGGCATGCTTTGTTCTGAGCGTGTGTAACTTGAGCAAGACTTGACCTCAGCTCCCAGTTCTGCACGTGGGACTGAATCTTACGGAGGATCAATGTCCTTTGCATCCTGCGCGCCAATTCTGCCACCACGCGAGAAATGTTTCCCAGTTCGAGCTGTGTACAGTAAATTATCTATTGGGACAACTCCCTCCGCAGTTATACCCCTTTCTAATCCCAGTGTGTCCTATGGATGATTTTTTTCCTACTTCTGCCGTCAATTCTGCTTCCGCAGGAGACTTATAAGGCAAAAAGCTTTGCTGTCTCTAGTGGGTTTCTCGAATGCATCTGACTTTGGCGCCTTTTCTGTAAGGCTGCACTCATCTGCACTCTAGTTGGACTGATCGATGCGAAAAATCGCAACATAACCAATCTACTACTCGTCGTCGTGGTCGTGGTCGCATAGCAGCAGCAGCAGCAGCAG